TGTTAGATTTCACCATTGAAGAACAACTCTAGTCAAGCTAAGAGAGAAGAAGAAGAAGCTTTATTAAGCACAATTTTTATTCAACTTTTCTGTATCAATTTAGCCACCACCATACAAGTATTTATATACAATATTTTGTAACTAACTTTTCCTAACTAACTTTCTAACTTTTACTATTTACAATTTAGCCCCCAATGCTAAGTAACCCTTTCTTTAATACTTCCTGATGGGGATCCTTTAACCTACCAACTGTTGAAACCCTGGCATTTTCCTTGATGCATCTGTCACTGGTTGGAGCAACTGATTGAAAAACAGGCAAGTGGCCATGGTTAATGGGAGGAGGGATCAGATGCTGCAGGGCACCATGCTGCATGAAATGGGCATTCGCATTTAAACCATATGAAAATGGAGTAGCAAATACATAATGGTTTGGATGAGGAAATGGCATGAACCCATTTACAGGAGCAGTTGCCCAAGAAGGTGGAGTTTGATAATAATAGTTCCATTGCAGGACTTGAACCTTGGGAAGTGTGTGCCTTGACTGTGAACTGGTGGACGCAAGGATTGAGGTCGCATGCCAAGAGTCCCATTCACATTTGCATTTGTTGAAGCAGCTGTGTTTGGGAAACTTCCCACAGGAGTTCCTACAGAATTTGGTGTCAGGGAACTGACCTCCTCACCTCTAGCAGTAGCAGTTCTTTTTTCTTGTGCAACTTCGTAGCATTCAGCAAAAGCATTCTGCATAACTTCAGAAGTTTCTCTTCCTTCAGAGTTTTTGCTGCAATCTTCTGAATCTGACATCGATAATGATTCTGAATTATGTGGATTTGAAAAGGATGTAGCACTGTCTCCCTCACTAAGGCAGGATGAGCAATTATCAGAATTAGAAGAGCTGCTTTGTGATAAACCCAAAGTCCTCTGAGAGGAAGACCTCGGCATCAGACAAGAATCAACTTCATCTTCAGCCACTTCTTTCACATAACAAAGTGATTTATCTTCCAAGTGAAAACCACTTGCACAGTTGCTTTTAGTTTCAGAACTAGACTTTCTTAATTCTTGTATGCCCTTTTCTTCATTTAACTGAAGAGAACTGGATACTCCCAAATTATTAGAAACTTTTCTTCATTTAACTGAAGAGAACTGGATACTCCCAAATTATTAGAAATAGAAGGCTCGGGATGCTTATCAATTCCAGTGCTCTCAATCTGGAAAGTTGAAGATCTCAAGGTAACATCAGAGTCAGAGCTGCTCCTTGGATATTTCTTTCGCAATTCCATTGGTTCCCATACCTTCTTAATAACAGATGAATCTCTGCTAGACAGATTATTACGTATAGCCATTTTGCTTTTGGGTCTTGCACAATTTTCACGCACATATTCAACCTGATTATATTTGGTTCCATAGTAGGGCTTGGAGATATCTGATTCGCATCCTAACTTACTCACAGGTTTGTTGTTCCCGATTCCTCTGGCCATGTTTGGGTACAACTTAGCTCTGTCGTCACTGTGTTGGTTACAGCTGCAATCTGAGGATTCATATCGGTCATACTTCCTGATATTGGAACAATTCAACTTTTCAGCAAACTTAGAGACACCATCTTTCATGCTGGATTTTGCAGCATTACTTCTTAATGGCTTATTTAACCTGTTGGTACTCCTTGAAGCTTCAAAGTTATCACAGCGATGTCTTGGCTCATACTTACTTGCCGCACCTCCACTGCCTGAAACAGCAAATCGACGTCCATCAAACCATTTCAGGCTTGAATCTGGTTCAAATTCTTTTCGAAATTTCAACCTCCCAGAATGTCTCATATGGTCAGCTGGAAATGAGCCATTCCCCTCGTTCATATTGAATTCCTCAAAATAATCATCGGAGTTGATTTGCATACTTGGGTGATTATATCCATCCAAAAGTAGATCATCTTCATCATTCGGCGATAAAGGGCAGGATAAATTAACTTCCCCAGCTTCACTTACCGAGTCTGTATAGCCCATCAGATTAGATTCCTCATCAACATTAGGTGATAATTCCTCCTTTGAAACATCATCAGGGGGAAAATTACTTTGGTTTGAGTCGCAACTTTTCTTCTCTCTATCCTTTTCTTTTCTCTTAATCTCTCCTTCCTCCGCAGCTTCTTTTCCTTTTCTTTTATCCTCCTCCTCTCCTTGCGTTCTTCTTCTTCACGTTTTTCCTTCTCTTCTTCCTCGAGAAGTTTCATCTGCACAGATTATCAAAAATTTAGAAATATGCCTCTGAAATTTGGAAATGGCATAATAATCTCACAAGTAGAACTTCCTACACCAGAATTATAACTACTAATACCTGCTTTTCTAAAGTAACAATCTCCTTGCAGGCAACGTGAATGCGCTCCTCCAGCAACTTCAATGCAAGACAAACAAATATGCTATGTGCATTTTGCCGTGCAGTTCCCTCTCTAAAAGCTTTTTCAACCTGCAAATAATTTCAGTGTCAAAACACTTCCAAGCACTACAATGACCAAAAGATGAAATTCAATTGTCTAAGAAAGTCTTGGTCCAAGAAACGGAGACCTCAACTTTTCAAGGCAGATTCATGTAATTTTAGAGTGTATCAGAGCAAATCCCCATCACAGAAGGAATGAAGAACCAGACTTGCAACGACTAAGCATAGGACATTAAAAAGATAAAGCTACTACGTTACATTGTTTTAGATCTCCCAACTTTTAGATATACCACAGAAAAACAAAGATTGTCAGGAAGGAAGTAGCTAGAAATACTACTTACAGAGTCATGTAGGTATATGATCAAAGTTATTTCTGTTACTTAACTAGGCAGCATACAGGCAAAAAAGATTGTCAGGAAGGAAGTAACTAGAATCCCAAGCAAAGCAGACTATAAACCTCTCTATTGCTTAAGAGGCATTTAACAAAGCAAATCAGTATTTTATTAATAATTATAACCAAGTAAATAAACTGAAGAGTAAAAAGGATCAAAGTAGAGCCGTTCTAAGAGCAGCTTGACAGTTGACTAAGGCACTTGATTAATGACAAAAGAAGCAAAGGAGAGACTTACCTGCTCCTTAAAAATTACAGTTGCAGCATCTAGGAGAAATTCCCGAGCAAGTTCAGGACTCTTGGCATGTTTTTGAGGACGCGAGCATTCACCATCTAGTTCATTTCCATCCTTGTCCATGGAATCCTCATCCTGAAAAGAGAACATCAAGCAAAATCCATAAGGTGAGAAGTTCTGACAAAGAATACCATACCATCCAAAGAAGCAACTATAGACACAATCATAGTGGAGACAGAGGCATAGTTAATAAGCCTAACAAATTTGACTACCTCTTCTTCTTCAGCCTCTTCAGCATGCTCAAAGAACCTCCTAATGCTTTCCCCTCTTGTTATTGTAACAAAACCATCCCCAACCACAAGCCTGCAATGTACACATTGTTGCCCCTTCAATGCATGTGCTTTGACAGAAAGTTCAGTACATCTGCCATCCAGTTTCCATGCCCGTAGAGTGATATAGCAGGCATTGAAACCGCTCAAGTCTAGACCACTGACTTGCACTCTTCCACTCAAGCCAACATTTTCATAGTCCAATATATCACATTTTCCTTCTCCAGTTCCAACTGCCCATTCAAAGTGATGATATGTCCCAAAGGTATCAATGAACGCCTGATGCCAGTCAGCTACAATTGTGTCGTGAGAAACCTGAACACGAGTAAAATGGCATTAATCTAGGTGCAAATAACAACCTCTTTCACTTTATCTGCACTAAGTTCTAGGAGTGGTAGCATTTTTTGTCAATAGCATTAGTATCTTAGGTCTCCATGTTTGCTCTCCTTTAATTCCACATTTGGTGGGTAGTTGGGATGGTGTAGTGGAAGGGGGAAGTTGGGGTCACTGATTCACTCTCAAGTCCTTTTAACACAACTGAAATGCCATCAATGAAATGATATGCAGAAAAGACCATTGACCAAAATGGGAACAATTTACTAAATAATCCATGAAACTAAAAACTAGAAGGGTAGAAGAAAGGGATAAATTTTGTAAAATCCAAAGATTAAAATGGTATTTAAAAAAAGGAAAATATCAGTTCCCTATAAGATATCCATGGAAAAATGAAATTAGGCACAAACTAGCTTGCTTCCACTTCATACTTTGCACACCACATGAACAATGAAAGAGATGAACATGAAGAATTGATCACACCTCATACTGGAATGCTGCATCAGCAACACAAAACCAAATACTGCAATGAGGTTCTCTGCGCATGCGTTTCAACTCCTTCAGCTCCTTGAATTCACGGATAACATTCCTTCTACAATCTCTACAAAATCTCTTGCTATCAAACCTGTGGCAAGCAACAAACTCACAGTAAGTTAGTCATCTGATGGAATTGCCTTTAAGTACATTAGAGATATTAGACCAGATTTCATTCATACAACAGGGAAACCAAATGACAACTGCAAACTGGATATTAACTTTGCTAACATAGAGCAGGCAAATATAAAGATTTCTAGTCTAGATTTTTCCTAACATCATACCACATCATAACCTGAACTTCAACTTCCAGTACGGTAAAAGGTTACTTAACTAGGCAGCATACAGGCAAAAAAGATTGTCAGGAAGCAAGTAGCTAGAATTCCAAGCAAAGCAGACTATAAACCTCTCTATTGCTTAAGAGGCATTTAACAAAGCAAAT